CTGCTGAGAAATCCTCCCACGACTTTGATTCAACTAAAACACGTCCAGGAGGATGCTCAAGGAAACACTGACCCTCCAGAACAGATCAGGTCAAACTCAGCTCCCCTAGACTCCCAGCCACTTCTCTCTTCCCTCTTATCACCTCTTCTCTCTTCTCCCTCCCCAGCTCCCTGCCCTAGGCCTCCATGACCAGCATCCTGGAAGCCTGGGAGGATTCCCATACCAGATTAATCGGCACCTCACTCCCCACTCACATTCGGGACAGAGGCCACTGGCCCAAAGCACAGAAGCCTGCGGACCGGAAGCCCGGAAGCCCTGGCTTCTAGACCTCTTCCTACTGCAGCTTGCCTGTAGGTCTGGGTAGGTTCTTCTCTCCAGGCCTCAGTTTCTCCTATCGGAAGGGGCAAGGTTAGATGACACAAGCCTAGCCATTCTCATTCCCGAGGGACTGGGTATGGGTCCAGATTGTCTGTAGTCTGTGAACCTGGAAGAGAGGGGTCCCAGGGCCAGCTTTTACAGCACAGAGACTCAGTGATCCCCGAAGGGCCCACGCAAACTACACGGTGGGGTGAGGCCAGTGAGACCTCCTCAAAGTTCCCAGTGCCTCCCAATGTGAAGGGGGGGAAACAATGAATTTCATTCCAAATAAGGGAACTCACAGCAGAGTTCCCTGCCATGGCCCAGTTCCGGCTGGTTTATGTTAGCTGAATAAGACTAAACAGACCTTCATGTTCCCAGTATTAAGCACTCAAAATGAAAAAGCTCCTGTTTGTCTCCAGCACGGGGACATGAGAGAAGATAGCTCTCCCCTGAGGCCCCTGGGCAGCTTGGGGATCCGGGGTGCCTGCTGAGGGCAGCAGGTCAGAATGTTAACCTCAGACTGGGCAGAGCCTGAGGCAGGTGGGGGATGGAGAGGGGCATGCAGCACCCTTGTGACTGCAGAGGTGGAGATGTGAGGGGCAGCAGGACAGTGAGATGGGAAAGAGAGACTATGCAGGGAAGAGAGGTGGACAGACAACCACAAAAAACCTGAGAAGCTACCACCACCACTAACGTCGCCACTGCCGCCGCCGCCGCCAGATTTACCCCAGAGACCAGGAGCCAGGAGAAGGAAAGAGAAGGGACTGGACACTTCTAGGCCAGCATTCACTTTGTTCCCAGCCACCTCAGCTGCCTCCCTCAGTGAGGATACAACCTGTGTGAGATGTGCCTTTAATTATTTACTAAACAGAGAAGCCTGGAGGAAGATGACTTCCTGCTTTTCTAGAAAGCCGCTTCTCATACCCACTTGCCCTCTGGCCTAGCCACACCAAACTGGCCTGCCCCACCCCCCTCGCCCCAATCCCTTCAAGGCCTCTGCCACTGTGTCACAGCTTGAGGGCAGGCATCACGGTTTCTATCTTAGCGGTGGATACATCAGCACTAGGGAGGCATGTAGCCCGCCCAAAGTTCCTTGTTTACGGATGAGAGTGAGGACCAGTGGTTCCCACAGCTCTGGAACCCTCTGATTCAGGCCCCACACTGCAGTTAGACTTGCCTGATCTGGTCATAGGCAGCTCCATGCCAAGGCAAAGCCCTTCTGTGTCTACCAAACTTCACCATTGTTCAAACAAACCCTTCATCTGGGCCTATTAGCACGCCCCTGCAACACCAGCACTCAGGAGGCAGAGGCAGGAGAACACTGTAAGTTAGAGACCAGCCTGGTCTACACAGTGAATTCCAGGCCAGTCAAAGCTACTTAAGACTCTCCCAAAAGACCAAACAAGGGGCTGATGATGTGGTTCAGCCGGTGACAGGGTGCTTCCTAGCATGCACAAAGCCTGGGCTTGTCCTCAGCACTCCATGAACTGGGTGTAGGGAGACGTATCTCTAATTCTAGCACTTACAGGCAAAGGCAGGAAGATCAAGGTCATTCTCAGCTACACAGCAAGAATAAGGCCAGCCTGGGCTACATAACATAGTCTCAACTAAGTAAAACACACTTTTACTCTGGGAAGCCCTCCCTCTCTTCACTTGGCCTGTCTACCCTCTCCTCTTCCCCAACCTCTGACCTCCACCCCAGTGATCTATAGCAATCAGCTCTATGAGGTCAGGGCCATGCGCCAGTGCCCAGAACCTGGCATGCCGTCTGGCACCAGCAAGAACCTGTACTATCAGTCACTCGGTCCCAGGGTCTGGTATTCAGGAATGTCATTGCAACAAAGTGGGGGCCCAAGGGTGCAATTCAGACATAGATCTCTGGTCTAGCATACAGAGGACCCTGAGAGGGAAGAAGAAGAAGAAGAAGAAGAAGAAGAAGAAGAAGAAGAAGAAGAAGAAGAAGAAGAAGAAGAAGAAGAAGAAGAAGAAGAAGAGGGGGAAAAAGGAGGAGGAGGAGGACCACAAACGCACACAACACGGGCAGTCCCAAGTTTGAATTTCCCTACATCAACCCATTCTCATACTCATTTCAAAACACATCGAATGCCCTTGGTGAGTGCCAGGCACTGGGGATGGTGACCAGCAGTGAGCGACAGAGGTGGCAAAACCACCAACAGACGAATGAACGGGTACTGCCTCTGTGATGGTCGCTCAGATGGTGGAATCGGGAAAGTAACACAGGAATGAGGGAGGACACCAAGGACACCGGACTCAGCCCGTTGGTCAGGGGAAGCTCCCTAACGGAACTGATATCTGAGAGGAGCCTGAGGGGAGTCTAAGACCAACAACAGCCAGGGCTTGTTTGCTTCCATGACTAACCAATTATTGTCGCAGACAAGGAACCAGGACATGGAACAGTTCAGCCTGTTACTAGGGTCCTCCTGAGTCTGTGCTCCACCATGGCTGATGCTCCCCGCTGCCTCACACCTCTGGCTAGCATGGCCGCCTGACCCAGCCTTGCCTGCCATATCCTCAGGGAGCTCCAGAGGCCCGTTGGGCTTTCCCACAGGTCAGCATCTGGATTGGATTCCCACAGCCCAGATGTACCCCAGGCCTCTCGGGCTCCTTGGTGAGGCCCAGAGAGTTGAGCTAGAGGTGGGGTCCCTGCAGACCCAGACGAAGCCACCCCGTATCCCACACAGAAGTGCTAGCAGAGAGACTACCCTTCTTCCTAGGTGTCATGAGTCTATATGGCAGGAGACATTCCCAAAACAGGAAAGAAACCGCCACAGAGCTAGAAACTGCCCCTCCCCCAGCTTGCATTCTCAGAGTTGAATATGAGAGGGGATCTTTAAGTCAGGAAGGTTCCTCTGCAGAAAGGATGAGTGAGCTGGGAGGCAGAGTCAGGACCCCCAACTCAAAACCCACTGGACAAGTAGGTACAGGGAGCCAGGAGGGTTTCCCAGGAGCCAACCAGGAAATAAAGCCAAGGCCACATCCCTCTCACAGGCATGTCACATGCCAACACAACATTGTCACTACAAAGTTCACACCCAAGAACTGTGCAGTTGAGTGACAAAAAAAGCCCCCTCCCCCATAAAAAAATCTCATAAATTTTATGTAATTTCCAGTTCTGTGTTGGGCCACATTCACTATGATCCTTAGCTGCAGCCCATGAACCACACACTAGACCCGCCTGTGGAGAGCTTGAGCAAGACCCAGAAAGGAAAAAGAGGCTTCACAAAGCTGACAGTCCAGGACACATGGAACAGAATGTTTTCTTTGCAACAACTTCAGTTCTCTGAGAGAGGAATCCACACTGGGGGTCGTGGGACAGAAGATGAGGCCGAGGCCTTTGTAGACGTAGTTTTTCTCACCCAGGTACCAGTCAACCCCTCTGCATCCCAACCACTAAGACAGCCAGGCCCCTTCAATCATGGCTTAAAACATTCTCATCCACCACCAGGCAGAGTAACTGACCACTAGGAAGCAAAGCTATTGGCCTAACTAGCATGGCTTGGCTTTGAACAGCTCACCTAGCCCTCAAGACCCAGGCTTAACAAATCCCGCTCACCGAGCACTCCCTCTCCCCAGGGCCCACTCAGCACAAGTTAAGATCCAACTGGCATTAATTGGACTAAGCCCGTAGTGCCTGGAGCAACTTAAGTACTGTCATCATGGATTTGACTCACAAGCAACAGCCATCAGTGCCTACAGAGCACACTGGGAGTGTCATTTTGGAGGGCTCAAGTGAGTGTAGACGGTGCTTTGTGAGACAGCCTCACTGCCTGGCCAAAGCTAACACCCGGAGACCTAGAGCTGGAAGTGACTTAGCTATGGTTTCTATCCAAACAAAGAGTGGAGACGCCAGGGACATCATCTCAGGAAAGTCTATTGGTCCTTCATCTGCTCATGGCCCCAGGAAGTCTCCTCCTCTTCACCACAAGGCCTGCTAACCAAACCCCAAGCCCCAAAAGGTAGCCTCACCCCAATGCTAAAAACCTGAGCTCAGATGGATGAGGGGCCATAGAACTCTAAGGTCAAGTGCGGTCATGATCCTGAACACTGCTGAGAACAGCTGCACTCCAGGAGTGGGTCCTCACCCAGCATGGGACTTAGACCCTGGCACTGGCACCCCAGCACCGACTTAGACCCCAGCACCGACTTAGACCCCAGCACCAACCTATAATCTTGCCTGCAAAAAAAATGGCACTGTCACCCCAAAACAGAACCTGGGACTTCAGGAACTGAGTTTTCCCACCAGGGCATCCTCTCCCTTCAGGACAAGCCCTGAGCTTTGAGGAGCAAACTCCTCAAGACCCAACCCAGCCAATTATTCTTGTTTTGTTTCTTTTGTTTTTTGTTCTATTTTTATTTAGCTTAGGGTTTGGGGTTTTTTGTTTTGTTTTGTTTAGTTTTTGAGAGAGGGAGAGGGATGGGAGGGAGTGAGAAACACACACACACATAGAGTGAGTGAGTGAGAGAGAGAGAGAGAGAGAGAGAGAGAGAGAGAGAGAGAGAGAGAGAGAATGTTGCTATGTAGCCCAGGCTACCCTCACACACTTGTTCTTCCTACATGCAAGTATGTGCCACCTGTCTTTATTTTATTTTATTTTATTTTATTTTATTTTATTTTTGAGAGGACTCTCTGTGTAGCCCTGGCTATCCTGGAATTTGTTCTGTAGACCAGGCTGGCTTCAAACTCAAGAGACCTACCTGCCACTACCTCCCAAGTGCTGGGATCAAAGGTGTGTGCCCTCACACCTGGTTTTGTTTCTTTAATACAACTTCAACTTGGAGCTCTGATGAAGAAGCCCAATCTCCCTTAAACAGGTTTCCTCTCATTTTTCAATTAAGGAGACAGGTGAAGGCTGAGCCTTAGTTTCCGGGTCGGCTACTGTCTGCTAGAAAACATCCTGTGAATGATGCTGTGTTTGCTTCTGTTTGTCCTGACTGTCTCCTTTATCCTCAGGTCCACACTAGAGCCTGGAGACCTGGCTGGTCCCTTCAGCCCCAGCCTCTGCATCTCATGAGGTTTTGTGCGTAGAATCTGTTACAGTTTTGAAATGAAATGTCCTTCACGGTTCACGTGTCGAAGGCCTGGTCCTCAGCCGGTGGCTCTCCTGAGGTGACTAGACCACGGGAACTCAGACTTTGTCAATGAATCAAGCCATTGACATTTAATGGACTATTGGGAGGCGGCTCCTCGCTGGAGGAAGTGGGCTATAGAACCTCCTTCTCACACTCTCTGCTTCCTGCCCACTGTGGGTGGACCGCTCCTCTCTGTACCTCAAGCGCCTGCCATGCTGCCCTGCTCCACCTCAGTCGAGGGACTGTGGACTGAAACCTCAGAAACTGAGCTGAAATAAATCTTTCCCCATTAGGAAACTGTCGTTGGGCAGTTTGCGTAGCTAGGGCCTCTTACAACTTCACAGTCTGACTGGAGTAAAGTGCCCTCCTTCTGTCACGGGAGCACTGCATACCACGCCCCTTAGAGACACCCTGGAATGGCTATCTCCTAGGGAACAGAGGAGCCTCTCAACAGATGCCAGGCAGGCCCCGGCAAGGCTCTCCATTTTCTGTCCTTACTCTGACCTCTGGAGTAGTCCGGATGGCATCTAAGGGGAACAGGGCTTTAAAAAAATGGCATCCAGGTAAGTCAATAACAGCCCTCGCTGCTCTTCCTCCATCCCAGGAAGAAGTGGCTCTCATTCCTCCTACCTTGCTCTCCACCCAGAGCCAGCAAGTTACCTGCAAGGACAGACAGACTATGGGCTAGCTGAGACAAGGAAGTGAATGTTTAATGATTTTCTATGCAAAGTTCCTTGGCCAGGAGCACCGGAGGCCTTGTCCTGACTCAGTCCCTCTACAGTCAACAGCATTTCCCAACTGTCCTGAGCTTGGTCCTAGCTCAGTGCAGGGGACCTGAGTTCTTCCTGGGCCTTCACTGCATGCCTCATACCTAGCTTAGTGCTCCCAACCGAATGTAATGAGGACATGGGGGATGTCCTGTGATATTTAACATGTAGGCACCAAGGATGACATGTGGAGAGTCCCATGTCCAGCGTGGTTACTGCTCCCTCTAGAAGCATGAAGTAGAGTCTGCTCTCACTGGGTCGCTTACCTAAGGGAGCCCCCCTGGGCCCAAAGCCCAGTCAAATACCCACAGTCGCTCCCAATCATTTGCTCTGAGTCTTCATGAAGACACAACTGCCTTGGTTGAGCAAAGAAGTAGTTGATCAGGCAGAGTGGCTTGAACCTCTCATTCCAGCTCCAGAGACTGAGGCAGGAGGATTCGAGGCCAGCCTAGGAAAGGAGAGGGGGCTGCTCTGGTGACTTTCTTCTAAAGAGCACAACATGGAGGGGAGTTAGCTTTTCCTTTTCAACCGGGAAACTGACTGACAGTGGTTGAGCCCGGCACTCAAGGCCAATGGCAACCGTGATGAACCCTTTAGTGATCTGAAAGCAGGTGTGGTGAGTGCTAACTCGGTAGGAACCAGCACAAGAAGTAGAGAATAAAGTCTGGTTATCCTCAAAGGCATGTGTTATAAAACACCAGACTAGGCCACAAGGCCAGACTGTTGACTAGTTACAATAGGAGCCCCAACGACTAAACCAAGCTAAGAACTTGTGGAGTCCAAAATGGCAGTAGAAACAACAAAGGAAAGGGGCATTGTCCCCAAAGAAGAACCACTTTCCATGTAATGCCCTTTGATAAGTGTAATGGTTAGTTTTGGTTGACAGCTTGATTGGATCTAGAATCAACCAAGATACACGCTTCTGGGTGGGTTTGTGAGGATATCTCAAGGAGGGGTCAAGTGAAGAGAGAAGGTCCTCCCCCAGAGTAGGCAGCACCTTCTTGTGTCAGTCCAAATAAAGGAGGTCCTAGCGCAGAGCAGTGCCTTCCCACCTCCCTGCCCGCCTGCCCGCCTGCCTGCCCACCCGCCCGCCTGCCTGCCTGCCCGCCTGCCCACCTGCCTCCCTTCACTTCTTACTAGTGAACTTGCCCATCCCATTGCTGCAGCCATGGCCTCCATCCTTCTCCATCCTTTGCTAACATCAGAACCCAGCTTCTCTGACCTTCCAAAAGGGACCCAAGACCAGCAGCTCTCCAGGAATCACCCAGGCCTTCAGCACCAGATTGGTACTACAAAGGTATCTAGATTCATGGGCTGAGAAAGCTACCAGGCTCTCAGCCTCTTCAACATGCAGATGGCCACTGCTGGACTCCCCAGCCCAATCCTGCAAGCCAAGCTAATAAACGTTCTTTATAATATATATTCATTCTATCAGTTATTTTCCTCTAGAGAATTCTGATGGGTACAGTAAGGTCTCAGAGTCCCTTCATAACCAATCTCAATACACACATCCCACCTCTATCTCTGTCTCTTTGTCTGTCTCTGTCTGTCTGTCTGTCTCCCTCTCGATCAAAACAAAATTTGATTTAAAATTACTGATTGTGCGGAGCTGGAGAGACAGCTTAGAGGTTAAGAGTGCTTGTTGCTCTTGCAGAGGACTGGAATTTGATTCCCACACCTGCATCAGACTGCTCACAACCGCCTGTAACTCCAACTCAAAGGGATCTAATTCCCTGTTCTGGCCTCTGCCAGTACCTGTAACCACTTATGCATACACACACACACACACACACACACACACACACACACACACACACACACACACACACACACACAAATCAAAATAAAGTTTTACTTACTAATTTTGAAGGTCCTGAAAATGAACAATGCCTTAAAGGTTCCACAGGCTTGGCTGTGAAAAGCGGCACTCCTGGTGTGGGTTGTGATGACAGTTACCCTGGTTACTTCGTAGGACCCTGAAGTCCATTTTGCTGCAACCACTGGCTCTTCACTGGAGCCTACATATATAGTTGATGAATGAGTAGAATGGGATAAAGGCTTGGCATCTCTGTCTTCATAGTCTGTCTGTTCCTTTTGCTGCCTTAAGCCTAGCCAATCTCTACTCAGTTCTGCATATGGACACGGTGACCATTTTAAACATGTGTTGCCCAAGGTCATAATTCAGCATTTACTTAGTCTATTGCCCACTGAGATCGGCAGTTGTTTCTTCTTCTGAGCCCTGGGGCTTTCTTAGCCACTCTAATATCTATTGTCCATCAGTCTCATTAAGACACACACCAAACTATGAGGACAGATTATGCAAGACAACGAGGAACTCAGCAGCTCCTAGGGTAAGTCAACCATCCATTGGCCTGAAAACCTCAAGGGGAAGTAAACCTTGCCCGTGACCAGTGGACAATTACTGAATGTGCACACCCCAGAGCAATCAATAAAAGACTGCTGCTGTCTTCTGTTCGGCGGCGAGCAGCAACGCGGTCCCACCCCATCCCCACCTGGTCTCTGCTTTGTTTTGTTGGCTTTTTTGTGGTACTAGAGATCAAACCTAGGTCCCCACAAATGCTAGACGAGCACTCTACCACTGAGACACACCCTCAGACGTTCTTTCAGACAGTGACTTGCTTTGCGGTTCAAGCTGGCCTAGAACCCGTTCGGTAAGCCAGGCTGACCTTACATTTGCATGGATCCCTCTTCATCATGGCTGTGTTCCTCTGGCTCGGGCTGAAAGGCCCAGTGAAGACCCCTCATTCATGCTAGTCTTGTTTCTACAGTTTCAATGCCATTAAATCCTGCCATCCAGAGTCTGGATGGTAAAATGACATACTACCTTTTAGAGCCACAATCTAATCATGAGGGGAACATGGGACAAATTCCAACAAGTCTCCAAATGCGCAACCAGCATCTGTGTGTGTGTGTGTGTGTGTGTGTGTGTGTGTGTGTGTGTGCGTGCGCGCGCGCACGTGTTAACCACAAATATTATGTGCTATCCTAAATGAGGATCCTGATACTAAGAAAAGATACTAGGGTAAACTGAGGAAAATCTAAATTACTACAGACATTAATAACATGGTGTCAGAACTGTCATTGTTGCAAACATTAATGGAAGATGCTAATAACAGAGTAACTGGGGACAGGGGTGTAGTTGAGTGGTACAGCACCTGCCTAGCATGCATGAAGACCCTGATTCAATTACCAGCACCATGAGAAAAAGAACTAGGAAAACTGGGTGTATGGCCTTCATGATATCTGGGGAAGACGGAACTTCAGTTGAGGAACTGTCTCCATCAGACTGGCCTGTGGGCATGTTTGGGAGGCATTCTCCTGATTGTTAATAGATGTTGGAGGGTCCAACTCACTGAAAGGGATACCATCCCTAGGCAGATTGGCCTGAGCTGTATGTAAGAAAGGTAGCTGAATGCGAGCCTGGAGAGAGAGCCAGTAACATCATTCCTCTGTGGTTTCTGCTTCAAGTTCCTGCCTTGGCTCCCCTGGAGAGTGGAGGGTAAGATGAAATAAACCCTTTCCTCCCCAGGTTGCTTTTGGCCATGATGTTTAGTATGGCAACAGAAAAGCAAGCTAGAACAGAACTACAGAAATTCCCTAAACCTTTTCCCAGTAATTTATAAATCTAAAACTGTCCTGAAATAACAAGATTGTTTTAAAAATTATGCCAAAAAGACATTTATTATCAAGCTACAACTTGCAAGGTAGTGGATGGGTGGGGAGAGCCAAACAGGCGTTTTTGGAGTCTGCCCTTTCTGTTCACGTCCCTTGGGCTTGGGTTCATCTTGGCACCCCTTTGCCTGCCAGTAGAAAGAGCCACCACAGATTTAGACTTCACTTTATACAGGTGTTCATAGTTGTTCTGGACCTCCCCAGGACTGAACTTGGAGATGCTGTAAATCTGCGGGGCCTCCTAGAGGTTGAGGCTAGAGAGACTGGAAGCAGCCTCACTGGCTAGCGCCTGGCGCATCCCTGGCCTCAGCAGTTGCCTGAGCAAGAACTGCCTTCCGTCTGCATGTTCATCATGATGATTTGAGTCACGTACTTGTACTTGGCCACGGTGGCCACAGGGCACCAGGTGGGGCTTTCAGCCTATGGGCCACGCACCAGGGGCTCTGTAGCTCAGAGGTCAAGATTTTTTAATAAGTTTTGTCTAAAGAAATGTCTTCCATTTTGTTTTGTTTTGTTGATGCTAACTTCCTTTTTTTTTTTTTTTTTTTTTAACAGTGTCTTGTTTTGTAACCCAGGATATCCTCAAACTCAAGATCTTCCTGTCTCAGTCTCCCAGGTGAAGGGATTACAGGCAGATATCACCATTCCAAACCTAATTTTGTTGTTGTTATTGTTGTTCTTTTGGTGTTTGTTTGTTGACATAGAGTCTCATGGAGCCCAGACTGGCCTAGAATTCACTATGTAGCCAAGAATAACCTCAAATTCCTGATTCTCCTACTCTGCCATCATCTAAGTGCTTGTATTACAAGCAAACACCAGCACATTAACCCAGGGCTCTGAGCACAAAGCAAGCACTTTCCCAACTGAGTTCTACTCTTTTGAAAGTGGTAGTTTAAAGTCAAACACATCTTAAGAGTCCTGGCTCTACCTAGAGTCAACCATGTGACTTTATCCGTCTGTAAAGGGTTAAAATCACTCCTCTAGTGCAAGTCAATGATCATTCAAAGAGTTAAAATAGTGGACGGCTGAGAGGGCTCAGCAGTTAGACGCCGGCTATCAAATTTAACAATCCAAGTTCATTCTCCAGGATCGGTATGGTAGAGGGCGAGAGCTCTCATCTAGGTTGTGGCCTGAACCCCACACGTGCCTGTGTTCCTGAGTGGGTGCAAACACACTAAGCATAATACCATTTTTAAAGTCCAGATAGTTCAGCTGGATGAGGGTGTAAGAGGACATGCCACATAGGCTCTTGAATATTAGCAGTTATCGTATTCCAACTCATTTTCATCTGTTCGTTTATCATTTTGGTTTCTGTTTGCTTCCCACTAGCTCCATGGTGGCAAGCCCCCATCTATCTTTGTACAGTACTGTGTCCTAGAGAAATGTTGGCCACTGCTAGGGCCTAGTATGTGTTTGTTAAATGGACTCCCTCCCCCCCACATCAGAGCATCCTAGGAAACCCTCTTTGACCTAAGCCCTGTGCCCAAGCCCAGAGCACCACCACCCCCAAACTGTGGCTAGAACAAAGACAGCCAGGCCACCTGCCTGCCTCAAAGACGCCTATGTAAGCCTTTGTTCTCAAAGTACCCTGCCTCACCCCACAAGTACCAGCACCTGCTCATTTCCGAACCAGCAGGATTTGGGCAATGACGCCTGATAAGCCAGGCCCACAGGACCACATGGCCTCTGGACTCTGACAGGCTGAGAAATGGCCAAGATCAGCCCAGCCTATCCCCAAAGCCCCACCTTCCTCACAGGCCTGCCCATCTCTATGGACTGGCCCAGCTCTGTCTGTGCCACGAGGCCTGACCACTGGCTAGCTCATGCCCCTCTGTCCCTGAAGTAGGTTTCCCAGATGTTACCAAGGAGACTTGCATCCTGCCCAGGGTTGCCAAAGCAACCAGCTCAGTGAGAAGCAGCCCCTCAGCCTCTAGCCTGTGGGTGTGCAGGTCCAGGAATGAGATAATCACAGATTAACAGGAACCAGCCCCAGCCAGCTGCACACCAGGGCAAAGGCAAACCCTGGCATCCGCTCGGCAGTACCCAATTCCTGATCCCCTCCCCCCTTCCTCCATCTGTTCCTGCCTTTGCCTGTCTTGCCTCTACCTTGGACTCTGTAAAGCCAATGGCTGGTATTGATGCGCCAACTATGAGAGTTACGCTACCGGCTGTGGGTCAGTGGCCTTATAAGAAGATGTGTGTACACACTGAGGAAGGGCCAGTTGAGGACCCAATAAGAAGGAGGCGTGTACAAGACAAGAAAGGGGCTCTGACCAGAACCTACCCTGGTATAGACCGCCAGCCTTCAGCCGGGTGAGAGACACGTTGCTGCTGTCTAAGCCTTCGGACAGTGGTCTTCTGTTATGTATTGGTATTGGTTGCCTGGGCAGACCGTTCCAGGAACAATGAAAAGTCCCAGGAAGGAGAAATGCTTCTAAGGCTTTTCTTCTCTTCTCCTTGTGACCTTCCATGTCCTAGGGCAGAAACTCAGAGAAGAAAACACCAGCCTTACATTTACTGAGCGAGTGAAGGAATTCATTTTTATTGAAGGCACCATGATAAGTAGGGCTTCGTTTTTTAAACAATTTTTGTTGCTGTTGTTGTTGTTTTTATTTGTGTGTCTGTTTGAGTACATGCTGCATGTGAAGGCAAGGAGGCTATAAGAAAGAGCTCTCGTACAGATAGTTGTGAGCTGACCAACATGGCTGCTGGGAGCCAAAGTCACTGAGGAAGTTGTGAGGGGCTGGAGGTTGGGGATTCTGAACTAGCAAGTCATCCTAGATGTACTTTGGCTTACAAAGGGAGGGACCATCAAGAGCCTTTCTTACACTTTCCTCCCTCTGGGGCTCTGCCTTGTCTCTTTCCTATAACTGAAGAGAAAACCAACAGGACAGTGGTTACAGTGGTGTGGTGGTTGAAATCGGAACGGCCCCCACAGGCTCAGATATTTGAATGCGTAGTCACCATGGTGTGGCACTATGTGAGACTGATTAGGAGGTATGACCTTGTTGGAGCAAATGTGGCCTTGTTGGAGGAAGTTTGTCCCTAGGGGTGGGCTTTGAGGTTTCAAAAGCCCATGCCAGGCCCAGTCTCAGCTTCTCTCCCTCCCCCACCCCCACCAACTGCAGA